ATGTATTATTAGTGCAAGAGTATATCACTAACAGAATTCATATATTATTAAGTGCGATAGCAGGACATATAACTTAGACACGTTAAATAATGGATTTCTCGCAAGGATATCGATTTGAATTGAGTGTTCGCTCTTGATGCAGCAAATTTACGAGCAGATCGATTTTATGGTCAACGAACCTGCATGAAGATTTGAGACTACGGCAGTATTCACAGTCATGCAACAGCTGATCGATTACAGTACCTCACAACGTCGAACAACTGTTGTTTCGCGCAGGACTATCAAACCTCAAAGGATTCCTATTTGATACATCATGCAAGGATAGCTTTGTTTAGTCCGGACGGCATTCTACAGTCATGACTTTAAATAAACTAAATACAATCATGATTTGTTTTGTTGAAAAAAAAAATACTTGGTTCATTGCCGGGGGAGAAACAGGATATTTACATAAAAACATACATATTTACGTAGCAGGGCGTTATTTGGGGCAAAAACAAAACAAAAATCAACATATTTTGTTCTATTTTCAGAAGGCTATGCATATTTACATACAATTTATAAATATATATCGATGAGTCATCAATGACTCATTTTATTGATTAGGGTTTTCGCAGCAAATCATAATAGGACACAGCAGCACACGAGCAACCCATTACGCGTGGCCTTTATACGTCTGGTCGGTCTCACAGGAGCAGTATATAGCATAGCGGAAAGTTACAAGTACGTGTATTACAATACGCCTTTCGTATTGCATTACACGGCACGTTTATTATTTTTCTGGATTCACACGCCCACTACACAGTACTGTGTGTACATCAATTTGGCCTTCCAGGCATGAGCTCTAACGCCCTAGTTCTACCAATACATTCCATCTATTTACGTACTGTGCTTGCCGCGTAACAATATGACCCTCTATGCATGTGCGCTACACAAAAAAAACAGCGTGTACCAGTGTTGTTTAAACTAACAGTCGTTAAGGGACTGAGGAATAAAACTGTGTGTAGCTATTGTGAAAGATGGTCTATCAACCGTGAAGATGCGGTTGTCAAGAGATATATCATTGCTTATTTATAGAAAAATTGATACAGGAATGCATAAATATAGACAACTGTCGGACAGACTAATGTAGATACACAAGTCTACTATTCATGGTTCATAAATATGGCTCCATATATTGTAAAAGCCCTATTACATTCAAGAAGATAGACTTTATACACAATTCTGATCCCACGCACATGATCGTGTGCACATGCTCGACGTCTTCAAAGTAAATAACTAAAAGTCTAAAACACGATCTTCTATGGTGTTCGTTTTTAAAATACCTCTCTCCGCTCCCCCCAAATGAACAAGCCGGTATATTCTTGTCGTATATGTATGAAATTATAGTGTTGGGTTCTTGGGTTTGGTTTCCTGAGACTATCTTCGGCCTTCGGGTTGCCTAAAGTACTAAATAGTTAAAAAAGAATAAATATGTCCAAATGTCCATAATTAAAAAAAGGCTTATTCTAAAAGGACATACAAATGTAATAAAGGCAACGTAAATACATGTATATTATTTAACTATATTCCCTTCCTCTCTCTACTAAACAACTCAGCATAGATCATATAATCGAGTAACTAGATAGCTGTTCTTAAAACCCGGATCGTATCTGAGGGACACAAGTGAGTTGTGAAAATGCCGTTACTAACAGGTAAACATTCAACTACTTAGGCATGTGGACGAGGTTCAATGTTTAACTTCAGAATACACACAAGTAGATAATTTGGAAGTAAATTGCAATTCATCATTCATAAGAGGTGATTCGCACGTCGGTGTATACTCGCACAGGGCACAACCGGCAGGGAGAGAGCACGTCCAATAACTTGCTTCGAAACTGCGGTTGTGTTTGCGAGTTTATTTCAGTATCTAAGTATCGTAATTAGTATGTGTATAAAAACCCTAGTCTCAATTAAATATAAACTCTAGTCGTTCTTTTTCTCTGTACATAATTATACACACAATATGTGTTATGTATAGCAATAATGCTTACACTCCTCGACTATGTGGAGGCGCACAACCATTCATTTATACCGAAATATGTCGCATAGAATTGTACCTTGGCGATTAATATAAAAATATATAAGCGTCTGTATTTATATATATCGTACTTGCACATTTGTATATTATGAGCATACACACACGCGCACACAACATATACATACGGACACACATACGGATGCACATACGGACCCACATACACACACAGATAACCCCCCCCCCCCAACACACCCACACCTACACAAACAA